TCAGACTTCAAAACCAAAGTCATACTCTTCTCCTCCCCAAATCTGGTCTTCTTCTAGTATTTTATATTTCAATAAATCAGTGATTTTACAGCAAAAAGACCCAAAGCAGCCTGTGATCCTTCCTTGTGCCGAACTTCTCCCCTCCCACCATAACCAACTCACTGAAACTTGCTCCTGAGGAAATCTCAAATCTGGCCAAGTCGCTACTCTACCCTAATCCAAACCACATCGTCCCATTCCTGGACTACCTACGCCTCTTTAACTATATCCCTGCCTTCCTCTAGCCCCCCACCCCACCTCCCTGACCTGTTCCCCCGGGCTGCAGACAGGGTGAGATATGAAGAGGCTAAACATCTGAATGCTGAAGGCAGGGCCCTACACAGTCCCCGGCTCAGGTCTCCAGCACTGTCTCCTCTGCGACCTCAGACTTTCTCAAATACATGGATCTCCTTCTTGTGCACTAAGAGCTTTTGTCACATAACTATCCCCGTGAAACTGCAAAGCATCAGCCTCCTACCTCCCCCACTGGCCTGCCCCTCCCACCCTCACCCACGTCACCGTCCTGGTAACTTCTTCAGCCTCTCCCAGGAAGCACCACCTCCAAAATTACAGCAGCGTCTCCCACAAAGCACATCAACAGGGAGTTTTATTCTTTGCTTCTTTATGACCCCACTTCCCTACTTGATGATACATAAATTCCAAGCAGGAAGGACTTCTGTGCACGTGCTTACCATTGTATATATGCATCAAAATTTTTAAAAGTGTTATAGAAATCATGTGGACTGAAAAACGAGTCTAAGATCTAAGAGAAAAAAAATCCGGCCCTGGCCACGAACCCAAGAGTAGTGGGTTTGATTTCTAGTCACGGGCACGTACTTGGGTTGCAGGTTCGATCCCCGGTTGGGTCACAGAGGAGGCAACCAATCAATGTGTCTCTCTCACATCAATGTTTCTCTCTTTCTCTCTCTCCCTCCCTCCCTTCTTCCACTCTCTCTAATAATCAGTGAAAAAATATCCTCGGGTAAGAATTAACAAAGAAAAAAAATTCAATAATGTTTTTTAACACCACCAATGAAGCAGTTTGCATGCTAACACCAGCCACTTCTCTCCACGCTTATTCTCTACCATTTGTCCCATCTTTGCTGAAAACCACCGCTGAACAGATCTGTAAATTCCTAGGCCCACCCGCACGCCGGAGACTATGTACGTGAGGGAGAAGTGAGGTTTCCTGCTTACATTAAAGGTGCTTTAACTTGACAAAGTCACCCCGTCAAAGTTTTCAGCAGATCATAACTTTAATGTTACCGAACACATCTGCAGGGGAAGAAATTTCAAGCGTCAGATGCAGTTCAGTTGCATTTTGGTGGAAAAGAAGTAAAAAATCCTACCCAAATATTTGGCAATTCCCTGAAAACCTTCTGCAGGATCCCTTTCATGCCATACTCTTTTTTCTTTTTATCCTTACCCGGGGGTATTTTTCCATTTATCTTCAGATAGAGCAGGAAGGAGGGAGGGAGGGAGAGAGAAACATCGATGTGAGAGAGACACATCTGGATTGGTTGCCTCCCACACAACCCCAACCAGGGCCAGGGATGGACTACAACCGAGATACATGCCCTTGGCCGAAATCAAACCCGTGACTCTTTGGTTCATGGGCCAATGCTCTGACACTAAACCAAACCGGCCAGGCATGCCATACTCCTCGATGCATTACATAATCCATCAGAGAAGGAAAGTTACCACTTTCCCCTAATTAGTGCTCAACTGTTAAGCATTCTCAGAATCCCACAGACATGACAGATGCACGTTTTCTGAGTACCTACTATGTGTGAGGAGTACAAAGATGAACGAGGCACGTACCTGCCCGTTACAAGTCTGGGGTTCAGGGAGGGAGAAGGAAAAATCCCTACAGATGGCTTCAATTCATGGGGTGCGGATGGTCACACCAGGGAACTCAAAGGAAGAGATGGGGGTTCAAGAGGATATGACAGTTCATTTTGTGTGTCAACCTGGCGAGGCCATGGCTCCCAGATATTTGCTCAAACACATCTGGATGTTACAGTAAACATACAAACAAAACAGACAGACTCATAGAGAGCAGGCAGACAGCTCTGGGGGTGGGGGGTTGGAGGTTGTGGGAGTGGCAGAGGGCACAGAGGGAATAAATTGTGATGAGAAAAAATAAACTATATTTTACAAAAAAGAAAGTCTTTTTTAGATAAGATTAACATTTAAATCAGCAGACACTGTGTAAAGCAGATTATCCTCCAAATGGGGGTGGGCCTCATCCAATCAGTTGAAGGCCTTAAGAGAAAAAAGACTGACCTCCTCCATAGAGGGAATTCTATCTCCAGACTGCCTTTGGACTTGAATACATTTTAGCACAAAGCCCCATGTTTTTAATCTTTGATCGCATGTGGCCAGTAAGACTGTCAGACTAATTTTGTTAACCAAGGAAGACTGAGTGTTTCTATTTACCTATAAGGCCCCAAAGAAAACCTGGCCGTCTGTACAGCCCAAGAGCCCGGCCAGCAGTGTCTACATCAGCACTAGGTTGTCCAGGTTGTGTGGGGCACTGCTCCTCTCTTTAGAGAGCAGGACCATCAAGTCCAGACAGGTTGGTCTGAGACACACTGGTAGACACACAGAACAAGGAGAAGACTCAGACCCAGACCCCTAGGCTGAGACCCACAAGGCCCAATGTTCCATTAATGCCTAACTCAAATCTGCTCCCTCACTGCATTTCTCTGGCTCCCGGCTCAGGTTGGGCCACCCTGGGCCTCTGCTGACTGCTAATTTTGTCCTGCAGCCATTGTTTCAGTCAATCTAGTATTTATGTGATGCCCTTTGTGTGTCCAACATGGGGCTGAGCACTATGCAAAAGAACTACCGGGCATGGTCTGCTGTCGAGTGGCTCAGAACGCTCCTGGGGAGTCAGAATCGCCCCACCTGCAATGATGCTGAGCGGTGCTCTGCAGTCCTCGCCTGTAACGGAAGCCTGAGACCAGCATGAGCTAACATGCTGGGAGAGGGTGTGGGAGCTGGCCGGAGGGCTCAGCAGCATCTGCTTAAATCAAGGACAGAACAGAAGGCAAGTCAGGGGGCCGAACAGATCAAACAAAGACCTAAAAGTGGGGACGAACGTGGCACGGAACCCGCTGGAGTGGCGAGTTGCATGCTGGGCACCACACACTGCAGCCAGCTGAGCCTTACAGCTCGAGTTTAAAACTGATGGCACAGAAACAGGAAACCTTTGGAGGTCTTCGGAGGAAGACTAAATGGTTAAAACAACACTTAAGGAAACAGTCCACCTGCCAGGAGGTGCTGAGAAGATGATGTTACAAGGGTTAAGAAACCAGGTTCTGGGCTGAATCCTAATTCTACTCCTTGCAAGCTATGTGGGGATGGGCACACTAGTTCACCTGTTACAGAACATGTTTCTTTACCTGCAAAGGGGGCACACTAATGCTCATCTCCTCCGATCCTTGTCAGATTAAACGAGATACTGTATAAAGGCACAACATTATGGCAGCACAAAAAGAACACAAAGCCACCACCTGGAAGAGCTACAGTGCACACTTAATCTGTCACTATGGTCCAAGGATATTCCTACATGTCTTCTTTCAAATGAGGAAGCTAAAAAAAACATTGTACTGAATTGATTGCATGGGCCATCCCTTAACAAAGTTGCTAGAAAACCCTGTCAGGGAAAAAAAAGATAAATGCAGAGGACCAGAACTGACCCCATAAGATGGATCTGTTTTATGGGTTATGCTTTTTATTATATAGTATAGAAATTTAATCATTTTTTTAAAAATCGCAGCTTTTATGAGAAGAACCGCCACCATCACCAAAAAAACGCACACCACGCCATCTGACTTGACTAAAGATCTATTCCTGGGCATCCATCGCTGTGGAGAAGCAGGAGCAAAACCCACGACATTTCTGGTCAAGGCCAGACACTCGGGTCCTCGCCCAGGCCCTCGCACAGAGCCAGCTCATCTTTATCGTAGACCTAGTCATGCACCCACAAACGTGATCACCTACTGCGTGCTGGGCCTTTAACCTGCTGATGTAAATTATTTGCCCCTAGCAATTTAGGGACAGCTAGTTAGGAAAAGGCAATAGTGGGCATGGTGAAATAAAAATAAAACATAAAAAGTCTGAAGGGAAGAGAATCAGGCTGGGGCAGGAAGGAAGAATGAAAAGAGGACAGGGACAAAGAGGCAGCGGTCCAAAAGGCACACCGAGAGATCACAAGCAAAGCATCCAGGAAGGAAAGAACCCATTGTTAAACTAGGAGAACTAAGTGAGGTGGAGGCCACTGCTCCTGTCCAAGGAGCAGGCACCTGCCAGCCACTGTCTCCTTCCCAGAGAGGACTCCAATCACCCCAGCCTGCGTGCAGTCCCTGCCGAGTCATTCCCGTTAGCACAGTGGACGAAGGCTGCTTCCCTCTCCTGCGTCTACACATGTCAATTACCCTGCAGTGTGACTTGAACATCAAGAGCCCTGTGCTGCGACCTATCGCATGCCTGTAATGATTCTTGTTATTTGTGATGCACTCGACCTAAGAAAATGGGGACGGTATGTATGACACTTTGGAGTGACGGCAGATTGGGCCCTGAGAGGTCAACCTCATCCAGCTGGAATGCTAAAGGAGGCACGGTTTACTTAAAACTTGCCTGCAACTTTAAAAAGTTACGTGTCGTCCTGGCCGGTTTGGCTCAGCGGTTAGAGCATCAGCCCACGGACCAGAGAATCTCAGGTTCAGTTCCCACTAAGGGCATGGACCTCAGTTGCAGTTTGTCCCCAGTTGGGTCGTGTGGGTGGCAACCGTTCAATGTGACTCTTTCACATCAATGTTTCTCTCTCTCTCTTCCTCCCTCTCTCCCTCCCGCTGTAGCTGAAGATAAATGAAAAAATGTCTTCGGGTGAAGATTAAAAAAAACAATAATAATAATAAATGAATAAATAAATAAAAAGTTATGTGTCACCAAACCTTGATCCTTCGGATGCTGACGACAGCCTCCGACACCTTCTCGATGGCCGAGGGGAAGAAGAGAGTGACGGTCAACCGCACAGCCCCGTAGAGGGTCACCGCCACGAACACACGGCTGGCTGTGATCACTTTGCCAAGGAGCACGTAGGTAGTGAAGGTCACGTAAACAATGATTTTGCTGGCAACGAAAAACGATGCCAAATTCATTCCTCTAAGGTAGGAACTTCTCAAAATCTTGGAAATTTCCTTCCTAGGAAAAAGTAGGATATAGGTTTTAAGGGAAGCAGTGACAGCAAAGTCGTGAAATGAATTCAAGTGCCTTTTGCACAGGGCCCCTTTCTAAGGAGTGGACACACTTACAGATAAACAACCGCTCTCCAGTCCAAACCCTGGCGAGCTCCCACACCAGGACCACCCGCTCCACACCCACTCTGCTCAGCCAACTGCATGAAGGCATAACAAGCACTTTAACACAATTCTAGGTCGGTCAGACTGAGTTTGAACATTCATTCGTGAACACAGGTCGTGTACCAGGCCCCTCATTGATGACACTAAGATGCAGCCTGTCCCCTCCAGAAGCACCTGCCCTCATTGGAAAAGAGAATAAGCACCCCAGCACTTGTGAGACACTAAGGCAATAGACGCAGCAGCCAGCACAGGCCCCACGGGGGCCGGAGAAGAGGCATCTAACTGGGACTGGTGGTCACACACATGAGAGGCGGCGCCTGAGTTAGTCGAGGATCCGAGAAGAATCAGAATGAGAGTGCCTTCATTTTTTTTTTTTTTTTTTTTATCCTCACCCAAGGACATTTTTCCATTCTTTATTCAGATAGAGCAGGAGGGAGAGAGAGGAAGAGAGAGAGAAACATCGCTGTGAAAGGGACACATCAAGTGGCTGCCACCCGCATGACCCAACCAGGGCCAGGGACAAACTGCAACCGAGGTACATGCCCTTAGCGGGAACTGAATCCAGGTCTCTCTGGACTGCAGGCCGACGCTCTAACCACTGAGCCAAACCAGCCAGGGCCAATTTTTTAAAAATAGGAAAAATATGGTGTGATATATATAAAAACTTACCTCCTCAAATTGGTAATCAGGTCTGCAAATGGCTTTTCCCAAGCATACATTTTTATTATTCTTATGCCCGTTATAACTTCATTCATGGTTCTGATCCTGGCGTCTGTGAAAGTTGCCGTCTTACTCCTAAAGGGACAGACGTGAGATGAGCATGGTGACCCCAAACCAATTCCCCTGTCAACAGAGGGCGCAGGCAGAGACCAGGGATCAAAGGAGTCCCTGCAGCTCGTTGGCACTGACGACAGAGGCAGGTCCTACTCAAAACACAAATGGGGCGAGACTTCGATTAGGAAGCCAACAATCCGTCCCAGTTCAAGAAGTAAGCTGGAGAACTGGCAGCATCTGCTGGGGAAGATGTGTAGAGAGTCAGATACAGACTGTCTGTCTGCTCAAGGAGGTCACGGCTGGGTAGGGACGGAAGAAAAGCATCTGAATCTAACAAGAACACAATGGACTGTGCTGGAATAATTTAGGAATGAAGGGCTGGGGAGCAGAGAAGAGAGGGCTAGTTATCCTACTGGGAAAGGAAAAGGCAAAACAGCGTCAGAATTCTGGTAGCACTGCCAACAGTCCTCAAAGGACCAGGAACACTTCTCCATGGCAAAGGGGAAAGAAAATCCCACACAGAGAAAGACACCAGGTTCTGAGGCACAAAGGAAAGAACTCCATGTGCTTCACAGAACGTATCTCCATCCACCTGACAACCTTGGCAATGACCCACTTCCAACCCTCTGGGATCTGCTTCAGGTCTAATTCATCACCGTTAGGCTTTTCATCGCCAGTCGCTGTGCTGTCACACACGCTGTTAGGACTGTGGGACGTTATGAAGGTATCGTTAAGATCAACCTCGTCCTTGGAGAGCTTACAACTTCATGGAAACAGTGAATTATAATAACAACACATACGCTGCAAATGATTCTAACACAAGCATAATAAAAGTATATGCCCCTAGAACTGGGCCCATAAGCTATCTAAATGTATCACTATTTAATAAATTTTAAATAACTTCGATGCATGTAAACACTGCTTAAGTACACTCTACTTATGGAGGTACGGCGCCTGAAAAGCTAGTGAGGAGCCAGCAGATGCCTTCCCCTTTCCTGCGACAAGACTAGCTTTCAGCTTAAGCTGGAGCCCCGCACACTAAGCCTGAGGAGTCTACAACACAGACAAGGAAGAGATCATAGTAGGCATTTGTTTTGTTTTTGATCAAAAGCATCGGGCAGACTACGCATGTTACCGAATACATACAATGTTACGACAGCACCTCTGTGTTTCTCTTACCGGAGGGATGAGAACAGCTTCCCGATGCAGCTCTGCAAAGGCAGCAGGATGACGAGCACGACCATCCCAGCAAGGCATGATATTCCTATTTCCATCCAGAGCAGGGCAGTCACTGCGATGGCCTGCATTGGGCCTGCCCACAGGAAGTGCAAGAATACTGTTACCTTAGAAGGAAAAGACAAAGCCTTTTGAGGACTGTTTAAAAACGAACCCAGTGAAAGATACAGTATACAAACCATCTGCTCTGAACCAACAGAACAAATGAGAACCTAAACAGAAGTGATCACAGTGGGTTTTAAACCTGCTACAGCAGAAAGTAGCTACTATTCCAGGGCAACCCAGGGGAGGCTACAGGTACTTCCAGGGAGAACCTGACCGGCCGCACTGGAAGGAATCGCTCAACTTTGTCTTCCCCAGAAGAGCTCAGGTTTCCCCAAACTCAAAATTTAGCCCCCCTTCCCTAGAACAGTGGTTCTCAACCTTCCTGATGACACGACCCTTTAACAGAGCTCCTCATGTTGTCTGTGGGCGTATCTGCCTGTGTGTGGACCCGCCTGGAGACGGATAGAGGAGCCGTGTCTCGGTTCCTAAGACCATGGAAAATATGTGTTTCCCGAAGCTCTTAGGCGACCCCTGTGAAAGGGTCGTTCAACCCCCAAAGGGGTTACGACCCACAGGTTGAGAACCGCTGCTCTAGGCTCTCTAACACCCAGGAAAGCCTATATTATAGTCCCTCCCACATGCTCCAGTAATTCCTTGTGTATCTGTCTCCCTGATAGACTGTGGATTCTCCAGGGCAAATGTCTTATTCATCCCTAACACTGAGTAGGAACCTTAGTTTATTTCTGATAAATGAACGATTAAAAGAGAAGTGATTTAATACAACACAGATCTGGCTAGCAGCTACAGTGCCCTGGATAATGTGATATATTCACAAGATTAAGTAGAAAAGGAACATGTGGAGGTTAGAGAAGAGTAGGTTATTTCGGCTAGGGACTACCCATTTGTCACTATTTATCGAAGTATTCCTACACAGCAGGTGCTATACAGGACACAGGGGAAGAAATAATCCCTACACACCAGGAGTTCATCATCTGCAGGAGGAGACAGATGACCCAGGCAACAACCCCAACACGATCTTCTAAGGGCCACTCCAGGAAGACTATTAGGTACATGTAACCAAGCTGGGCAAAAACACTGCTGTCTACCTATTTATGATTGAGTTATATTGTAGGCAACACTAGAAAAACATAACTCTCATCTACAGGACAACATGTTACAGCTAAGCTGCACACAGAATAAATGAGAGTTCAATAAAAACACCTTACCTCCTCAACAGAATCCTGGCCTGTGGTCCACTATGTGGGAAGGGTGGGAAATGAAAGGGCACCGCTCAGGAGCAGCTTACCTGATCAAACTTGTTCACGTCATTGGACAGCAGGTTGACAATCTGGCCTGTGGTTGTCTTGCCCATGGCCACGTTACTAAGACGAAGTGCCTGACAATGAGAGAGGGACAGAGCATTATATTCCAAAGGTGATACCAAGTCACACTTAGAAAACAGCAAAACAGAGCGCCCTGTCATTGGGTCTTGTCTGACATCAAGACAAGCAGGATGACGGTGCCACTCCATGGACCCGGGTCTAGCCTTCTACTCCTCAGTGTGGTGGCAGCCACAGCCCACAAGTGCAGCCAAGGGTGAAGTAAGAGGTAGAACAAAATCCTTCCCTTCATTTTTTGATAAATGTGGACATACCCAAAGTATAAAAAAAGAAAAAATTTTATACTTAGAAGCCAACTAAAGTAATTTTCAGCCAAATTAGATGAGAGTGGAGATGCCACCTAAGGAAACACTTAAGGACTTGGAATCAGTCATTAGTTCTGAGTGCGACATCATTTCAACACTGCAGGTCTTGGTTTCCTTGTTCCATGACTGGAAGTAACCCCTCCCCTGCCTAGATCATAAGTTTCCTAAGAGTGAAATGACAACCGTTTCCTGTTTACTGTGTATAGGATACCAACAGGACAGAAGATGTACAAGCACCTGTGATTCCAGTGTGAGCTGGACAGTGAGCACAAGAGCACCGGGAGCTGGGGAAGGTTTTGACTGAGTGACATTGTTGGGGGGTGCAGACCGTGGATGACGAAGGGGAGAAACTATGTGGAGAGACAAGGGCACTGTGGGTGGAAGGAACAGCAAGCAGAGAAGCCAGGGGAAGGGAAACGTGGAGGCAGGTGAGTGAAGAAGACCCAAAATCTGGCTTGAAGAGTGGGCTGGGAAACCACTAAGGAGTTTGGAAGGCAACATGGAACAGTGAATTTTTTTTTTACATTAGAGTGAGAAATTCAACTTTAGGAAGATTAAACTGGGGAAGTGACTGGCTAGGAGATTCTTACAAGAAGAATTACTCCAGACAAGAGGTAACGAGACAGTGCACTAGGATTGTGTGAGTGGAAAGGAAGTGCCAGACATAATAAGAGCACTTTGAAAAGTAAAAAATACTAGGCAAATATAAGTGAATCGACCAGAAACAGGGAGGGAGGGAGGGAGGAGGTAGGGAGGGAGAGAGGGAGGGAGGGAGAGAGGGAGGAAGGAGGGAGGGAGGGAGGCCCCTACAGGAAAGAAACAGAACTTATTATGCCTTAATTACTGAAAGCTATCTTCAAAATATTTTTAAAGCCAATTTTACATATAAATACATGTTCACCCCTCATGCAAAAAATACATTACATATATATATATATATATATATATATATATTTTTTTTTTTTAATCCTCACCCGAGGATATTTTTTCCATTTTTTTGTACAGATAGAGTGGGAGGGAGAGAGAGGAAGGGAGAGAGAGAGAGAAACATCGACGTGAAGGGACACATCGAGTGGCTGCCACCCGCACGACCAACCAAGGCCAGGAACAAACTGCAACCGAAGTACGTGCCCTTAGCGGGAACTGAACCCGGGTCTCTCCGGACCGCAGGCCGACGCTCTAATCACTGAGCCAAACTGGCCAGGGCACGTTACATATTTTAAAAGAGTAGATACTTGCTATCTAATTTTAACAATTAAAATAAGGCAGAATGGCACACCAAACTCCTATTCTAAACTGATCATTTAAAAAAAAATCTCAAGACAACCATATCCCGCTAGAATTGTCATTTATAGACTATCATTGCTGCCGACAATGAGAACTACAGGGTAAGACAGTATGGATGACAACTTGTGCAAAAGACAAAAGTTTCTCTGGATGCCCCATTAGGGCTATTTGTAATTCAGCTGTGTCTGTGACCAGGTATAGTGATGGACTAAGAAGATAGTTCTGGCACAAAAGTTAATACAAGTTAATGATAACAGTGCAGCCAACATAGAATTAAAGATCTGTCAAAAGAAAATCAGCCATATTGCAAACAGTATTAAAAAATAATAATGGCGTGTCATTAATATTGGGGAAGACATAGCTTACAAGCAAACAGCCACCAGACGTCTGCTTCTGACCATGAAAAAATAACTGGTACTGGACTTGCCCTCCATTAAAAAACTATAAAACTGGACACGATACACGGAGCAGCTGTTTGCAGGCACTGAACCGCAGGCAGCACAGGACCACGAGCCCTGAGAGAAGGGAAATACAAGAGCTGAGCCCTGTGACTGGCCTGGCTTTCTGCCCTGGAGGAATTTTCTCCCCAAGAAGAACTGCAGTTTCACTGAGCTGAAGAGGAGGAGGTGGCTGTTCCGAGTGGCAGCAATATCTGGAGTTTGCAGGCCAGAGTCGCAGAGGATAGGCCCCAAAAGTTCTCGTGGGGATTTTCCAAAGCTACTTCTCCAGGGCTTCACTGTCCATGGCCAGGGCGAGACTTCCCGGGCCTAGAGAGTGGCCACTGTGGGGCTGAGTGCTGAAGGGGGACTCAGAGGTCATACAGTGCCAGAAGACGCTGGAGGGTCTGCCAACTAGAATAAAGAGGTCTGCATAAGCACCTCAGGCCGTCAGCTTGGACACCAAGACGGCCAGCCATGCCTTAGAAGGAAAGAGCACACTCTAGAGTAAGAGCCATGTGTTTATACTAACTTAAAAGTGGAAATGTCTACCCCAGATAGAGCAGATGTATAGACAGACAGGCAGATAAAAAGAACAAACCAACCAACCAGTCCTACAAGACCAATTCTGCCAGGAATTGGCTATCAGAAAAAATGTCAATACCTTTTAATACAAACTCCCTATAATGTATCCCTCATAACATGTAACATAGTAAGACAATTATTAGACATGAAAAGAAAATGTGAACCATAATCAAGAGGGAAAAAATACAGGCAATAGAAATAGTCCCCGAGATGATACAGCAATTAGTAAATCAAAAGTATAAAACACCTACAGTAATGCCTCACTTAATGTCATGCATAGGTTCTGTGACTTTAAGAAAAACACCATATAATGAAAACAATTTTACCATTGACATGAACAAGAGTTAAGTTCCTGTGTTATAAAGAAATGACATTGAATGAAATTACATTATTTGAGGACTGGCTGTATTGCAAATATATTCAAGGTGTTAAAGGAAAATGTGGTTGTAACAAGTGAACAGATTAATAATTCTAGGAAAGAGATAGACATAATCAAAAAGAACAAAATGTAAATTCTAGAACCAAAATATACAATATAGGAAATTCACTAGGTAACTTTAATAGCAGAAAACTTCCATTGCTCTGTTCCAATTTATTAACCCTTTCTTCTATAGTTTACAATCAGAAGAACAAACAAACAAACAAAAAAGAGTTTGAAGACATAAAGCTCGAGGGTTCAATGGGACCATGTCAAGCAATGAAACACGTGTATTTGGAGATCTCGAAGAAGACAACATAAAGGGGAAAAAAAACTACTTTAGGAAATAAAGGCTGTTTCCAAGTTTAGTTAAAATATATATATTAATTTACATACCTAGGAATCTTAGCAAATCCCAACAAGGATCAAAACAAAGAGACCTAGGCATATCAGAGTCAAACTCCTAAAAACCAAAAAGTAAGAGAAAGTCTTGAAAGCAACCCTAGAAGAGTGACACATTATATACAAAGAAACAATGTATAGCTGATTTATCAGAAACAATGGAGAGTAGAGCATCTTGTACTCAGTTATATATTTGTTGTAGTCAGGAGCTACCAGTTTGTTGAGTACACAGACCCTGGAATATTCATTTATCATGATGATCATAAAAACAGCTACCATTGCCCTGGCCAGTTTGGCTCAGCGGTTAGAGTATCGGCCTACGGTCCAGCGAGATTTGGGTTTGGTTCCCGCTAAGGGCACGTACCTGGGTTGCAGTTTGTCCCCAGCCACGATTGGGGTGGTGCAGGAGGCAGCCACTCGATGTGTCCCTTTCACGTCGTTGTTTTTCTCTCTCTTCCTCTCTCTCCCTCCCACTCTATCTGAATAAAACACACATACAAAAAAGTCCTCTAGGAAGGATTACAAAAAAAAAAACACAGCTACCATTTATTGAGCACCTACTATCAGCCAGACACAGAATATGAAACAATCTTACAAAGTAATAATTATTCCTATTTTGCAGATGACCAAGTGTCTTTCTTTTTTGGTACATGCCCCTAGCAGGAACTGAACCCAGGACTCTCTGGTCTGCAGGCCGACGCTCCAACCACTGAGCCAAACCGGCCAGGGCCCTATTTTGCAGATGAGAAAATAAGATGAAATTATTTCATGTCTGACAGAGAGTACTCAGTTTTTTTTCCTAATGCAGCAAAGTTACCATTGTTCCTCATGAATGCAGAAAATTAAAGTCTGGTTGCAATAAAGTGTATATGTTAGAGTTAAAAAATAAATAAAAGTTCACACCCAGAGTAAAGAAAAACAGTGTGCTAATTTAATGCATCATCTTTCTGCTGTTTTGATTCCACATTTCCTTAAACTGACACACAACAAATATTATTTGGTTAAATCTGTTACCCTTGTGAAAGAACAATGAGAACAATAAAAGGCAAAGAATACTTGTACTTACTATATATCTTTAATAAATCAAGAGTGCCTAAAAACTACAGGTGCTCTTAAAATTATAAATCGGACCTGGCCAGTTTGCTCAGTGGTTAGAGCATCAGCCTGCGGACTGAAGGGTCCTGAGTTTGATTCCTGGTCAAGGGCATATATCTGGGTTGCAGGTTCGATCCCTAGCCCTGGTCAGCTTGTACGAGAAGCAACCAATAGATGTGTCTCTCTCTCTCACATCAATGTTTCTCTCTCTCTTTCTCTCTTCCTCCCTTCTACTCTATCTTAAAAAAAAAAAAAAAAAAAAAAATTCAATGAAAAAATAACCTCAGGTTAACCAAAAAAAAATTATGAATCAATAAAAATTGTAAAAGCTTACCAATTAAAAAGAGGGGTGGGCTGCATGCAAAGGACACATGCAAGAACTCACTAAGAAAAACACAAATGGCTAGCGAAAATTTGCAAATCTCAAATTCATTATTACTCAAAGGCATGCACATTAAAATAAAGCA